TCTGCAACAAATGTCTTTGTCCTCAGACTGCTAAATAAACGTGAGGGAAATCTCTGATTTGTTTATGGGCTCCTACAAAATACTTCTGAAGGTTCACAGTGACTAGAAGATTCTGCTTGCTCACTGTGACATTAGACAGCTGATGAGTTCTGTGTGCAACTCTTCCTCTGTTCCTTTTTCTTTACTTTTAATAATTACTGTTTTCTTTGCTGTACCACATCCTACTGAAAAATAAAAATTAAAAATAATCTAACCAGCCAAAAAAGCTATACCAGTTAATTAGCTTAGATTTATAGCTGCATCCCTCTGTTTGTCATCTCCTTGTGTCTTTGAGAATGAGCTAAGTAAAGGGGGATTTCTCTATTCTTTTCTTGCAGGGGGAGGGAGACAGCATTCACACTGCTACCATTACAAGCTAATTTCTAAGTCACAGTCACTAATCACCCCAGTCTCATTAAGCAAATGTTGTAAGGACAAGATCAAAGCAGATCATGTAAGTTGCTGTTCTTACTGTATGAAAGGATACATGAGTCAGTGGGTTTAATCCTTGTTCCAGAAATCTTTAACCCTTTAATTGTGGGCATAAAGTACAAACAAATATTATTGAGCTGTAAAGCTGACTTTCAAGTATGCTTTCTCTCCCATTCATTGTGGATTTTATGGCCAAGGGTATGAAACTATCTTTCCAAAAATCACCAATCTTTATTAAGCAGTCACATTAGACCTATGAATGTAGTGGTTTTGTGTGCGCCTGATTGGATTGTATCTTGTGAATCATAGATCATACAAGAATGAGAAACCTCTGGCAAATAATGCTTGTTAGTTGAGCTAGCATGGCATGATTTCACACATGCCAGCACAAAAAGTAAAATGAACATACATATATCTGGACTAATCATACTGCACCATAGGACTAAGGAGCACATCTGTAGCTCCTACAAAGAGCAGCACCTCTCAGCCCTATTCATGCATATGCATTCCCTTGATTTACACACTCCAGCCCTGATATTGGAAAGTGCTGAGCTCTCAGCTTCCATTAAAATCACCAGATATTGATAGATCCCAAGAGCACTAAGAAAGAAATAGACCTATTATGTTAATATTATGTTGTAAAAGAAAAAGAATCCAAATTTGAAATGAATAAAACTTCTTAAATAAAAATAAATAACATGCATAAATTGCTGCAGTCTCAATGGAAGCTCAAGAGCAGCTATTTTTTGTTAAACTTAGCTGGGTTTCTACAAGGCAACTTATATGACAACTCTATTTTCTCTGGCAGTTTTGCTAAAGTATGAATATAAAAATGTGCACTCCTTAGGCATAAGCAAGGCTGATTAGTTCTTTTTTAGTGTGCCTATATGTTAGAAGGATTTGTAACTGAACTACTTGAAGGGATTGCCATTTTACTTTGTTGTTTTACAGGATATCCCAGTCCATTTTTTTTTCCTACAATAGAAATACTGAGTTAAAATATTTTTCCACAGCAAAAATCAAAATTGTATGGCATAATTCTGTGGTTCTGTGATAATCTTTGGAATTTCACAGTTTGTTATCGAAGTTGTTCTGCAGCTGTTCCCTACAGAGGAAATACTTCCCATACCTGTGCACACACATGCACACAACTCCCCATTGTACACAGCTATCCATTTTCCTGAGGCTTTTTTTCCTCTTTCTCAAGGCTCAGCCTCTGACTTCAAGGGGCCGGGCAGGACAAAATGCTCCTCTTAACCCTGTGACACTCCCACTGTCAGAAATATGCTTGGAAGCACTGAAATAAATCAGGCTTGAAGTATATCAGGTTGAAGCCTGAGTATCAGGAAGCATCTTTGAAAAAGCAGCTCTGTTAGTTGTGGTTTAGAAAGCGCTGTCATACCAATTATGTACAGTAATGTTGAATTTTGTAGATGAGATCCATCAGTGCTTAAAGAAAGAGGAGAGAAATCACTATTTAACCTGATGCCTTTCTTCATGAGACTCACACTTTCTCATAAACCTGATACCATTTGCCAAAGGGGAATGTCTCAGGTTCTCACACCTGGGAGGTGGTTACAAACTTCGCTTTTTTGGAGCCCCAGGACTGCAGAGGGGCAGCTTAAGCTATTTGCGGGATGAGTGCTTGAGGCACGCAACGGCAAATGTCTCTCGTAAGAGCAACTGCAAATCGTCTAACAACGTAAAGAACCACGTGGAGCAGATGACTTTCCAGAGGGGTGGTAATTCCTCAGAGAAACAAAGAAGCAGAGGAAAAAAAAAAAATGTAACAGGAGAAAAAATAATGATGTAGCAGAGGAGGCCGTTTCTCTTCGAATTCTGAAAACAAAACAAAACAAAACAAAACAAAAAAAACACCAGTGTTTCTAACTGCACACTGCGCCCGCTCGTCGCGGCGCCGTTAATTACGGTGAGCCTGAGTTTGCGATGCTTCTCACTAACGAGCCGCTCGTTTTACAATCCCGTCAAGGCGCCGTTCTGGAGGCAAGAGCGCTTCGGTGCGCTGCGTGTGCGCCAGAGGGCGCCCGGGGCCGCTGCCTTCCCGTCCGTCCCCCTCCCTGGAGGTGTTGTAAGCGGGGTGCGTAGCGACACGGCTAGTGGTAAGCCTGTAGCGTTAGATTGGGCTTGCTGTTCTTAAGGGTATTCCCGACCTTATCGATTCTATGATAAAGGCGACACAAATGTACAATATTACATATGGGTTGGGCTGCACGTAATGCCACCAAGTGTAGTGGTAGCCTGACACTGGCAAAAAGATGTCCTCCCTCCCCCTGAGATTCAGTTGCAGCAGCTCCGCAGCACTTTTGCCTGCTGGGTTCATCTCCCTGCTCCGGCAGAGTTCCTGTGGTGGCAAGAAGAAATAAAAAGAGGGTCAGCACAGGGAAGATGGGACAAGCAGAACACCAGGCTGATTGGCACGTTGTTTCCCCTGAGATGTATCCTGTGTGTGTGTGTATCAGTGACATGATTCAGCTACAAACTAAGCTGCCTATGAAAACTTGACTTTGTTCAATAAAATACACCAGTTTTCAGTCTCGTTATATTGGGCCAGAGTGTGACATCCAATATAAAATGACAGCAAATTGGTTTAAAACAAGCAAACCTGTGGTTTCTTCAGATAGTTAAAAAAAATTATTTAGGAAGTTCCAACTCAACAAACAGAAGAAACTAGATAACTTTTTTTATTGAAATGTGTGTCATGGGATGTGGAGATCTTTCTTCAGAAAAGAAAACATCTTATTTAGAGATAAAATTGCTAAATAACTTTATTTTACTTCCGGAGCAATCAGTTTAAAGAGTTACCATCTAAAACAAGAAAGAGAGATGTTAAAGCCTGTATACCAACACAGAATTAAGCCACCTCAAATGTGAAGCCTGCTCTTCAAGCTGGGAATAACCAATGGGATACCTGTGCAGGGATACATGCAATGTGCATGTGCAATGGGATACATGTGCAGGTGCTGCTGCTCTGTTCACTGTGTCACCTTTTCTGTTAGCGGGCAGAAGGGAGGGGTAGCTTAGTGTTGTGGCAGATGCATGCATGGGAAACAGGTGTGGGAAAGACACCTTTGGGTGAAGAAGGGTGAGTGTGTTTTTGTGGAAGAGGGGAATAGTGTATCTTGTTTCAGAGCTGTTTTTTAGGCTGTGACCTCATTGGAGAAAAAGGGTTTTATTTTTGTTTTGTTGCTTTTGTTTGGTTGGTTGGTTTGGTTTCTTTCTTTTTTTTTTTTTTTAACTCTGAAAATTGCTAGCTGTCATGCTGGAGGTGAGCATAACCTGTACTCAAATTTATGTAAGAGCAATATTTGATGGTACTCTGTACAAAGCCAGCAATTGTGCTCCTCCTGTTGAGGAAAACAATTAAGCTGCACGTTAAAAATTTCTCTGAGCTGCTAGATTTCTTAATATTTAGAAGGCCTGAGCAGGTACAGGAAATTGCTGTTGAACAGAAGGCTATGGCTTGGAGTACCTGACCTTATGAAGCGTGTTTGATTTGCCATAAAGTGCAGTGAGTATGGTGGATTTGTAGAGTTCAGGCAGTCATTATGATATGCTTTACAAGGGCCATTATTCCCAGGTGATGCTAAAATCTACCCTCTTTTTCCTTTGTGGATGAATTTTCTGCCTGTTTGCACTTTAATAGGGTACCATAAAACCAAAGATGCCAAATGATCAGAACTGGATAATGCTTCCGCCAATTGTAGAAGATAGTCTAAAGCTGCTGTTTCTTGTTTGTCTGGCATCCACTATTACTCTTAAATTAGTATAATTTGTTCTGTTTGCTACTGAAATATAAAGGATGAAATTCTACCCTCAAAGCGAGAAACCAGCTCACTGAAGACAGAAAAGCGTTTTGTTCTTCTCATGTGGTAGGGCTGAAACTATAGCAATAGCTACACGAAGGCATTGCCTGCAAAGAAGAAACTTTCTGTGTGTCACTGACCATACTGTAGTACTAGCCTATTGGATAAGCATTTAGGGATAAGTCATATTTGTTTTGTTTACAGCAGCGTGGGCTGCCCCACTAATTTGCTTTAATTTGCTTTCATAGTCACCTTGAGAGCTCCTGAGCAGGAAGTGACAGGTAAGCGTCATCACTTTCATGAAATCTTTGGCCTCTCCACAGATACTGCCAACAAGACATTAGAGCCAACTACAGGTTTAAGCTGAGATACTGATGCATCTGCTCTCTGAACAATTCAGTCATTACTTATAAAAACGTGTAACAACCTCACTTGGATTAACAGTCCATTAACTGCAGCTCTGCGGGTGAACACCAGCCTCATGTTAGAGCAGTGGTGGAGAACGGAGCATTGTGCTCACAGAGAGCTGACCTGCAAAAGCAAATTTCTCACTCTCCTGCCTCTGCTCTGGGCAAAGCTGCTTACTTTTACATGGCACTCCTTCCACTCAACCTGCATTGTTCAAGAGTTTAAATTCAGATCACTCAAGGGGAAAACATTTATATAAAGTGCTGAAAAATTTAAGCCCTAAAGTTGTATGGCAGATGTGATGGGGTTTTTGTTTTGTCTGTTTTGTGTTGTAGGTAATTTTTAGCCTATATGTTTTCACACAACTATGCTACCAAGCAATCTCAGTTCAATGAATAAAGGGAGAGGTGATTGTATTGCCAACGTGATCAGGCAAGAATTTTGCTGAAAAATATTTGTTACATGCTTTCAGGGCTGTTTTTTGTTTGGTTTTTGCTTCTTCTAGCAGTAATAGGCATTTTTAAGGATAAGAGTAAGGAGGGAGTTGGAGAGATTCTTTTGGATCATGAACATAAGGGCATAAGATTGTCTCCTGGTTGCGGAGCTGCTCCCAGCAGGATGCAGTCAGTGGAAAGTGAACTTCAAGGAACAGTGAGCATGGAGGGCAGACAGTGGCTCAGGTACAGACTTGTACAAGAGTACAGTGGGAACAAAAGCAGCGCTTTAATTTGGAGCTGTGCGTGGAGAAACACTGCTTTGTAACACAGGTGACCTCTCCCTGTGAATCAGAGGCTGGAGAGGAGTCTGAAGCTTAGCAAGTCCTTTGCCTGACTTCACTGCCAAGGGCACAGCACGATTCCCTATTCCGGGCTCTCAGGAGCATGACGCTGTCGAGGGCTGGATGCTGCTGGGGCTGCTCACGCCAGATTCGCCAGAGCACCAAGGAGACGTGCGCCAGGCGTTGGTCACCTTTGTGTCATTGCACGCTCTCCAAGCTGGGAGGAGCTCACATGCCCTAAATCGCATCTCACTTCAGGCTGAGGCACCGACTTTACAGGATCTGGTCTCCCCTCGCTTATCCAATGCCTTGCCTCAAAGCGCGTACCTACGGACTGCTGCCTCCGAGGGCACCTCGGGAGGCGACGGCAGCTGCGGTCCCGCTGCATCCCCGTACCCTGCTGCCATCCTCCCTCCCCGCGCACCTTTCGGGCCGCCTCCGAGCACCCGGCACCACCCCTCCGCCGGCGCGGGGCTATAAATGAGGGAGGCTAGGAGCGGTGTACAGTGCTGGAGCAATGGGGAATCGTGTCACTCGCGGGGACTTCGAGTGGGTCTATACAGAGCAGCCCCACACGCAGCGCAGGAAGGAGATCCTGGGTACGTCGGGGGGCTGCTCCGCACAGCTGACGGTGCTGCGGGCTGGGCTGGGCGAGGCGGGTATTCCACCTGTTCTTCCTTCGGTTCGCAGTTACTTCTGCACGGACAGACAGTGTACATGTTGGAAGGCATATTGGAATCCCTTTTTTGTCTGTAGTAATTAATTTCTTCTCCTATATGGTGATGTATGAACCTCTCCTAGACAATGATTTGTGATCTATATGATCCTCATAAGTTTCTTCTAAGCTGTTTTCATAATTTCCACTTTCAGCTCAGTTTGGTGAGTTACTTCAATTTACTCAAGTCAACAGAGGGGCTTCTTCTAAATGCATTTCTTTTTTTTTAGTAGAACAGTAAAATAAATGGGGGGAGTGAGGAATGCAGGTAGATGTTTGCTGGAGAATAGCAAGAAGCCCTGCTGCTAACAGAGCCCCACTGCCTATATTTTTATCATGTACAGGTAGCATTTAATTGCACATAAGCGCATGGGGTTGGGAAGGCTTTTACTTTTGTTTTAGGGACTTGAAGTTTAGGATTTTCTGAACAAGCAATAATTCAGAATTGTTACAGAATATAGTTGCATATTTCTTAAAATATGCTTCAACACTTATTCAATAAAGGAGATTTTGCCTGGTTTTTCCTTCCACCTAATCAGTAGGATAAAGTTTTTAAGTTTCCTTATTATGAAGGAAGAAGCTGGGGCTGTGGTAATCAGGTGCAGCTCCTCCATGCTCCCATAGATTAACCTAAGATTACTCTAAATTATAGAAACATTTCTGGCGTAGTTATGATGGCAGAATATCCTGCTTCATATTAAATTATATCTGGGAAAATAATAATTATTTTTCTCTGTAGTAATGATAGAGAGGCAAATGATTTCATTATATAAAATAAAGCCTCTGGCTGTTGCGCTGCTGATTCTTTTGGTTATGAGAACTCTGGGTGAGTTTTCAGCAGGAGGCATGTGCTATAGGTCTCTCCTTTTGCTGACCTTCCACTCTCCTGGTGCTGCTGTGGCACTGGGAAATGGAGATCCAGAAAAGCTGGACAGAACAATCTGCATCTGACAGGGCAAAAGGGTCATGAGTGCTGAAATGTTGCTGAAAGTTGTTCAAATTACCATGCTATCCCACATGCTATTGGTATAAATCACTGCAACTGTATTGCTGAAAGCATGAAGGTCAAAAGCTCCCAGTACCTAGTGTCCTTACCAAAGGTCTGGTGTCTGCTGGGTGGAGTGCTTCTCTTGGATCTTACATACATATGAATGTGTGCCTAAGAAATACCCATGTAATTTACATTTTTGTATATAGTATTGCTTTAGGGTCAGAAGCATTCTCTGCTGATAAAGGAAGTACTTTCCTCCCTGTAGGTTAATGATTTAGTAGTTAAGCACCAACACTTGATTATTTTCTGTTTAGGCTGTAGCTTTTGGAAATGTTGATCTGCCTCAGGTATGGCTATTTGATTTAAATGCAAATTAAAAGTCTATTAGGAAAAAAGTACAGGCAGATTGACAAACACATCAGGCAATTTCTTTTTACAGAAGTGTTATTTTCTTACACTGGTGTTCCAGCATGTTTCTATAGAGAAGCTGAATTTCATGTCCTGGTTTGATTGCTATCAGCCCCAGTGCCTATGGCTTTGTTGGTGATGATAGACATATTTTTATCATTCAAACATGAGTTTCAAGTTCCAGTCTTTCAAGATTTCTGGTTGCAGCAGTTACACTGATTCCTAGACAGCAGCCCCAGCAGATATAACCCAGGGTTTGTCTGAAGTAGATGGTTATCCATCAAGCAGTTCAGCTGTGTACTGCAACTGGGCTGGCTAAAGCAACTGGGCTGGCTAAAAGCTAGCTTACAGCAGGACTGCACAGGTTCCAGCTGCTTAAGATGCCAAGGAACTCTCTTGTCCAAGCTGATATTTCAGTCTTGGTCTTAAGCTCCCATTAACTTTGTCTGCATTTTTCAGTTTATTAAACTGAATTTTTTCATTGCCTCCCTCTCACCCTCCTGTTTGTGAAAAGCCTGTTGCTGTCATGTACTAGAACTGAGATTGGTGTGGCGCTGTGGTGAACTGTATCAGGGAAATAACTGGCTGAAAACTAACCTGATGGAAGAAAGCCTTACATCTGCCTAGCTGTATAGTTATGCAAGTGCTATTAGAGAGAGAGACCGGGTAGAAAATAGAAAGGATACTGACTTCTAGTAGAATAAAGAAGTCTACTTCATTGAAAGTAAGATCTTGCTAGATGAAAGCACATGTAGTAATTATGTAAGATCATAGTTCTGTTGAAGCATTGAGTTTTGTGGGTTTTCCCCAACTTGAGGGAAAAAAAAAATATCAGAATTATTACCAACATCTGAGCAACACCATAAGCATACAGTGAGCAGTCACTTCATCTGCAAACAGTCTTCCAAATGCAAGCAATGAGTAATATATTGTGGAATGGGAAGAATGAGATCTTGTTTTGATCCAACCCACAGCACAAACTTCATAAAATTACTTCAGGTTGGTCAGAAAAGCGTCTTGTCTCAGGATCCTTTGAGAAGCATTTGTTTTCTTTCAAAGATGAGGGCTGAATCAGTGTTCCTCATGGTAGGATAGGAGCAACCAGATAAGATCTAATGTTTAAGCATGGTTATATACTTGGCTCTTTGGCAAGTTATTTGGTAGGGAGATAGTACAGGTATTTCATATGTACTTAATTCTGTAGGAAGACAGAGATGTTAATTTATCAGCAGTAGAGTGAGGGACCTCAAAATGAAAAATGCCTGAACCCATTTTATTTTTGCATTTAGGCAATTTAGAAATATAATAGTTTTCAGCCAACAGGAAAGTTACTCATTTATTTAGAGATTAGTATTTCTTACAGTTGACTCTCATATTGCCTATTTAAACTGCATACTTAGGAAAAGTCTGGTGAACTGTCCCTACTAAAACATGAAAGATACATATCTCAATACATCAAAGCTCTGAACTGTATATGCTTCTGGCAAAGAAACAAGGAGCCTGTTTCCCCTTTATATTGCAGTATGTGGGCACAGTGCTGCCACTGGTGTGCAAGTTCCCTGAACAGTGCATTCAGAGCAGCTGCTGTCTCAGTGCTCATGCCAATCCCCTTTGGGGATCATACGTAATATAAATCACAAGTAGAAAGTCAGTGATGTAGGTTCTCCTGATCTTCTGCTGACAATGTATTAAGTGCAACTGAAGATTTCAGCATACTCTATGTTGCATGAGTTTGTACAAGAAAGTTGGGAGCACTCTTTTAGCTATCCTATATCCTTTAACTTCCAATCAACTACTAAACAAGCACAAACAGATCATAGCTGCCGTAGTAAGGATGCTGACACTGTTTCATTTATGAGCTCCATGCAGTGCTTTGCATCTGGTGAACACTGCTGGGTGACTCAGCAACCTTGAACCTAGCAGCACAAAGCCACCTAGAAACTCATGGGTGATAGAAAGTTAAGGCCCTCTTACATAATGGAAATGTAAAACCTCTTTGTAATGAACTGGATCATAAAGATTTCTTATCAGTTTGCATACTGAAGGGGACAGAGAAAGCAGATTTTTTTTCATGCTATCCTCTGCACGTGTCCTACCAGTGCCCTGGTACATGTATGGTTTGAATTCAGTACCATTTTAGACGTGCTGTGCTCTTTGCAAGTATGTTCACAAACTAAGCTACTGAAAAGCAAAATACTATGATGTCAGCAAACTGATTTGCTTATTTCTGGTACAAATATCAGCCCCACTGTAAGACAGAGCCAACACCCCATGCCTGGTGTCTCTTACTTGATCTGCCACAAGCTCATGGCAGTAGAGCATAGTCTAGGACAGCAGCACCACAACTGCTGATTTGTTTGTTTTTCTTCCTCCCCTTCAGTTGGCCCTTGGAAGCAGCAAAATTACTTTTGATAAGTTCTTTGTGATACTAGAAAAAGCATAATGAAGAATATCTGAAATCACATACAGAGGAAAAAGTTGACTCACCTGACTGGAGATACGGTCACTGGCTACAGAGCCCTTCTTCTTAGGAAGCAGCCTTTCTAGAGGCTCGCCCTTAAATGAGCCCAGGGAGACCCTGGATCCACCCCAGATTCACCTGGGAAGCACAGGTGAATCTCTTGCACTTGTGCTTCCTGGGCCAGCTACCCTCTTCATCAGGTGCTCAATCATTAGTTCAGGCTGTGACTTAACAGTTCCTATACACCCTCTTTTTTAACAGACCTTCTAAAAATATTATGCTGAGTTGTGTGCTAACCTTGGCTATACTTGCTGCATTGAAATAAAAGATGAAAATAATTTCTTTCTCTTGCTACTACTAGCTTCTCATGGATATGGGCACTGCTGCTCCTCCGTGGTTCTGAACACCTCAATTTCTTGCCCATGTCTAGATTTGGTGTCTACCAAAATGTGCTAACAAATCAGTGAGATATTCTGTTGCCCTTGCTGGAGTCTATCTGGGTCTCAGCGCTGTTCTTTCATCCACACTGCTGCATAAATGGAAGTGCTGTTTTTTTCATCTTCCCCCCTAGAGATTTCTGTTACTCTGAGATTATGGCAGGCAGATAGTGGAGCTGATTGGACTGGGCAGAGTTATTATCTACAGCTAAATGCTGTACCAAAGTACTTGCACTTCTTTTTCACCATGTGCTGACTTCGGAGAGAGAAGTCATGTTTATGCTCTGCTGTACATCTACACCAGTACACCTGCCCTCCTCATGGCAATCTGTTGGCTCCTCCTGGACAACTGGAAGTAGTGCATGTGTGTCTTTGTTTCAGCTGGGACTGAACTGTTTTCTTCAGAGTGTCTGCTATGTCTCGGTTCTAGGAGAAAAACAATGTTGATAACAGATCAATGTTTGTAGTTGCTGCTAAGCAGTATTGTACAGTCAAGGCCTTTCACAGTGAAGAGCCCAAGGAGCTGGGAGGGAACAGAATTAATTAGAACAGCTGTCTTAAACTGGCCAAAGGGATATTCCATGCTGTATAACATCAAGCAGAAGGAGTTTTGAAGGGAATGGGAATTCATCTTTCTCTCTTTTGTTGCTCAGGGGCTGCTGGGCATTAGTTAAGTGGCGGTGAGAAATTGCTTGTGCATCACTTTGTTATATACATTTGTATATACATATATGTCATAATTATTATACTTTCCTTTTCTCTATCTTAGTAAATAGCTTTATCTCAACCCGTGAGTTCTACTTTGTGTGAATGACTGTGTGGTCCTCAGCCACCTGCCTGGTTAAGCTACAACAGTGTGGATAACCTCTCTGCTGAATGAGCTAGCAGACCTTCCCAGCAAGCTGGAGGCTGGATCATGTGCTGAGGAGACGTGAGAGTAGCTGGGACCATCTTTGTCCCATTGTACTCTAAAGAGTGAATCCATGTTCTGTGTGATCACATAACTTTGTGCCCGTTCTTTGTTCGTTTTTCTTTTATCTAGAATGACTATTTGTTTGCTCTTCTCATATTACTGTTCTCCCTCCGTGCTATGATCATAGATAATTAAGAGCTCACTATAAATTACATTTTATGGTCATGTATTAACACTGACTTGGTGCTTGTTGAGAAAGGGATGGACTCTGACCTTATGGAAGCCAGCCATATTAATAATGGACAAATGTTCAGGTAGAGGAAAAAGTGATTTGGAGAAGAGAAGCATGATACAAATCTCTGCTCAGATGCATCTTAATGTGAAACTCTAGGCTCAAGAGGGAGAAGAAGTGTCTTTTTACTTCCAAAAGTACTATGCAGAGGAAATGAAAGTGATCTTTACAGTGTAGCTGTACAGGTTTTGTATTCCTTGATGGCTCATGGGTCAGCTCTGCACAAGGGCCCAATATCTGATTCTGCTGCTTTTGGCATGTGCAGATTGCTGACAGCTAATGCCTGGCTTGCACAGCCCAACTGGTCATCTGCAGACACTTGTCACAGAAGGCTGTTCCCATTTTTCAATTGTAAATGCTATATATCTTGACTTCCTCCAACTCCTTCATCTAACTTCAAGGCATGAAGATGAGTGAAAAATGAGAAATAATAATACTTAGGTTGTCACATCTTCAGATGTAAGCATTATATTTTACTGCAGTCATCAGGATCACTTCATCCAAGCTTAGACATATCTCTCATTGCTTCAAGTTTTGGAGGGTCAGCATGCAACATTTTGCATTTACAATACTCCTGATGTGAAAGCTTCTCTGCAGACTACCCCAATAATTGGGCTTCAGCCTGCAATACTTTCAGTTCCACCTGTCAGCCTCCCTAGGACTTCTCCTTTACAGAATGAGGAAGTGGTTATCAGCATTAATGATAAACAGACACAGTGTTTTGGCTTAACTATTACAAAAATTTACTGTTGGATAGAAGTTAATCATGTGTTGAATTTAATATTAAACCCTACCACACTACTTCATAGTTGTTACCTGTGATAAATGCAACCCACGTGCAGTACTGCTTGCAGACCGTGCTGCTGGTGGTTAGAAGTTGCAGCTTTGAAATCTCTCGTAAGAGATTATAAACTACAATCCTTTTTAACTGCAGCAACAGTAAATTTGTCCAAAACTTTTCAGTGTTCAAACTAAAACATACAGCATAGCTAAGTGGCACTTTGTGTTAAAATTTGGTAGCTATCTAGGTATCAGGGAATGAGTTGCAGCATATTCACATTTCTAGTGTGAAAAAGTATAATTTCTAAAGTTACAAAAACTTGGACAACTTAGAGGTTTTTATTAAAAACTTAGGCTGACTTCAGAACAATATGAACTTATATTAGTTCTTTCCCACTTGCCTGAGTACTCCTAATGAAGATTTTGCCCCGTTGTCTGAACAAGGGGAAGAATTGAGAATATCTCTTTTCTCATCATCATCCACAGTACTTAATCTTTATTGTCTCTGGCCTCTGTCAAGCTCAGCTACAGGTGACCAACCGGCTGAAAATTGCTGGAATATTTGCAGAGCATGACCACATCAGCCTGCTTCCTTAAGTAGTGCTGAACCTTTCTGAACTACTGCAGATATCTCAAGGTTCATTCCTATAAAAATCCTCCACTCAGTGCCTGGCACTATTTTGCAAGGTCACATGAAGTGTATCATCTCCAGTGCTTGTTTGTAGTATATACAGCTGCACAGATGCAAGTTGTCATAGCCTTAAATGGTATAACAATGGCATTGGTATCGGTGCAATAGTCAGATGAAACTTAGTTTTCTTTTCATAAAATATACCTGTAAAACTTGTAGAGACACACTGTGTAACTTCAGGCTCATAATGAGTGACTTTTCCTGCAGTCTTATTTATGAAAGCTGCTAATTACTGTGAATTACAGAATATGAATAAAAGAAGAGAGGTCAGTGGGTGGATAAAGGACATAAAACTGGAAAAACAAACATGAGAGTTAATACTGGAAGTTAGAGATGGGATGTTTGTGAAGAGACTTGAAGTAATGAACAGTTCCTAGAAGATAAGCTTCACTTCTGTGCATTTTCTTAAAAGAACAAATGAATGGCAAAAAAAACCCCAAAGTTCAGTAAAATGGTGCTGCATTGGCATGAGTGTGATCTGGCAAGTCTAACTCGTGTCTGTGATTCTATACTGCGTGAAGCTGTTGTGGGATTGCCTATGTGACTTTCATGCCTATTTCAGGGATATGACTTGAGAACAGGCTCATTGGCTTGAAGACAGGCTCCCAGCAGAATGGAGACAACAAGTTATGTATCTTACAGATTCCCAATAATATTATTTACTTCCTGATGATGTTAGTATTTGTAAAGACATGTGCACATTGTAAGCACTGGCAAACACTCAAACACTCACTTTTTCTTAATGCTGCCCCCAGGCAGGAAAGCTTGGCCTGTTGCATGGCCTTCTTCCTCTGCTGGTATGTCTGAAACCAAAGAATGGAAAGGACTACAAAGAAGGCATCTGTATCTCTTTCCTGTTGAAAATAGTATCCGGACTAAGCAAAAAGAAAGGGAAGTGAAAAAATGTGACAGCTTAAGTCTGATAGTCACTGGTGTATTAATACTCATCCTCGTGAAGATAAATGGGGACGCATGTTGGCCATCGAGGCCATCACATGCGCACACACATATATTGGACACGATGCTAGAAATGGGAACAAAGCCCATACATTAGTGAAACCTTTTTGGTAGCGGCTTTGGAATTTCTATTTTATAAGACTGGGTCCTCAAAGATAAGATGATAAAAAATAAAGAGCATCAGCAGTGGTCATGTTTACCTTTTTGTGAGTTAATGAAATTTTCTTTGCATTTTTTCCCTTTAGCAAAATATCCAAGGATCAAGGCTCTGATGGGACCAGATCCACATTTGAAATGGATTGTATCTGGAATGGTTTTCATGCAGTTTCTAGCATGCTATCTGGTGAAAGACTTATCTTGGAAATGGATTTTCTTCTGGGCTTATGCTTTTGGGGGTTGCATCAACCATTCATTGACCCTAGCCATCCACGATATTTCACACAACGTTGCCTTTGGGAACAAGCAGGCCAAGTGGAACCGATGGTTTGCAGTCTTTGCCAACTTGCCAGTTGGTGTCCCTTACTCTGCTTCCTTCAAGAAATACCACATAGACCACCATCGGTACCTTGGTGGGGACAGCCTGGATGTGGACATTCCCACGGATTTTGAAGGCTGGTTCTTCTGTACACCACTTCGGAAACTGCTTTGGCTCTTCCTCCAACCTCTATTCTACAGTCTGAGACCACTGTATGTGAACCCCAAAGCAATTACACAGATGGAAATTTTTAATGCCCTTGTGCAGTTTTCTGTGGATTTTATTATTTTTTACCTTTGGGGACTCAAACCTATTATTTACTTAATAGCAGGTACAATTCTTTGCATGGGCTTACATCCCATATCTGGGCACTTCATAGCAGAACACTACATGTTCTTAAAAGGATATGAGACATACTCTTATTATGGACCTCTGAACTGGCTCACCTTTAATGTAGGCTATCACATGGAGCACCATGATTTCCCCAGTATTCCTGGAAGCAAGTTGCCAATGGTAAGTACATCATAATCTCAAGTGAACTGGTAGTTTTGTTGGGTTTTTTTGTGTTTTTTTTTGTTGTTGTTTGTTTTGTTTTTGTACATTATATGATTCTTTAGCAATAGTCTGAATTTCTCTGCTTCCCTTATCTACCTGTTTTTGACTCTTCAAAGTGTAAAAGGCTGATCTAAAGCAAGACAGGAGGAAATCACTACTTGAAACTTGTCTAATGGTCAATCTATATATAAACTATATTGTTTAATTAACATCAAACAAAAATCTTTCTATTTTTTGAGATGACATAAGTACTGGAGCATGTTCCAACTTGCTACAAATAGCAGTAGAAAATAAATTCCTGCTCTCTGTGGCTTGTTTTAGCTCTGCTGCCCCACCCACTGAAACTGAGGCTGCCTAGCCTGTCACTGGGAAAATGTTGTGGCTTTACTCTTTTAAAATCAAATCTTTTTTTTGTTTACATTTTATCAGTTGTGGGAATCAAATTTTCAAAGCCCAGGTGTCTAGGAATGGTTTTGAATTCACTGCCAGCTATGTAGTTGCTCTTCTGGATTTTAATACGAGAGTTCCTCAGCAGCTGTGCTCCCAGTGCCAAAAGGATGTGACTGCAGTGCATTACTCCTAAACCCAAATCCTCTGGCATGGTTGGGAGGAAACACTGTCTGTTGGAAGCTACTGCTGGAACTTCCTTGTAAGGAGGAGGCAGGGCTGAAATTATGGTGCTGTGACCTCCACACTACTGCATGACTCAACTTTTATAATGGTTATCCAGGAAAATTAAGTTTGGGAACCCCATTTTAAGAACTGATGTTAGAGTCATAGAATCATAAGGGTTGGAAAAGACCACTAAGACTGTCTAGTCCAAACACTGATTCATGAATAACCCATTTTCTTAATCACAAAAACATTGAGAGGAGGTTTGAAACAAGATAGAAGTAGAGGAGCGCAGAAAGCATATATACCAAATGAGTGTGTATATACATATTTATTTATTTATTTATTTAGTTATTTATTTTTAATCACCACTCCCCCCCCACCCCCCTCCTTGACTGCTGGAGCTCTCTCCTGAAGAAGTTGGCTGTTCTTGATGGGTTTCAGCATTCACACATAAAATTCCCCAACTCCTCTTCCTGACACATCTGGTACCTCAGCTAGAAAGTGGGCTTAGCTTTAGCTTGAGATGTTCAAACTTGTTAGATAGGCTTAGATACTTAGCTTACTGAAATGTAAATATAAAAGCAAGAGGTTAGCTCTCTTATCTCAAACAAAGGAGGCAAGTGATGAATTGAACTTGCTGGGATTATTGCTCCAGATCTGAATGAGACCTGAAAAGGTTTTCCCCACCCACATCACAAATTGTTTAGCCTAACTCCTCAAGGCAGCGAGGAGATGGAAGCGTCTGCACTCCTCTGTAGAGAGGATAGAGTTATAAGTTGAATTTTATAAACTTGTCTTCATCTGTTTCTAGCTTTAGGGCACCTGAGACTTGCCCTGCTGGTAGAGGAGGTACCAGTTTGTCATTCATTGTCACGTGACAGAACAACATGGAAAATATTGAGTCACTGGCAAATGAAGTGAAAAATCTACTATGAGGTAGAACCTCTTTGTCAAAACAGCTATTGAAGAAAATAGTTTGTCCCTTGAAACAAGTTGGCTGTTCTTCTCCTCAAACTGAGAAGAAAGGTTCTTTGGAAGGGGAGAGTACAGGCCCTCTGGATGGCAGTAATGTATGAACTTAATGACAAATAGGGGTGGAAACCTCCCTTTCTTTCTCCTGCTTACCTGCCCAGCAGATTCTTCACTCGGTAAATCTGTTGTCTCTTTAGCACTCAAACTTTTAATAGTTTAACTGTATTTAGTTTAAATATTGGCAAATTTAAGTTGGGAAAACGGTCTTTTCTTTGTTGTTGCATGAGTGAACGGAGAGGAGAATTAAGATCAGAAAATATTTTAAGTTTGGAAACTAACCGTGTCTTCCATTTGCTTATCAGAAGAGTAAATTTTGTCCTTTATTATGAGTGTTTCATCCAGTATGTACTTTCTGAGTAATATGTTTGCCACTGGAAAGACCTTTACCCTAGGACTGTGGCACATTTGAAAAAGGAAGAATTAGACTGTGCCATAAGCTTATAGAGATTGCAAATGAGTGACATGAGTGCACAGTAAGAACTTGTCCCACTAGTATAATGAGAGATTACACAAGAGAGATTTTAACATTATAATGAATTGTAACATTATAATTTAACATTATAATGAGGGACTTGCTCTAAAAACTATAGCCATAGACTTATGACTAGGCTAGCTTTTCAGTGAAGCTTTAAAAAAACAAAATATTGTGTTACTTACCAAAGAAATAAGAAGATTGATTCTTCATTATCTGAAGAATTGAATATACTTTTGATGAGAGGGAACACAGAACAAGGAGGAAGTTGGTACTCTTCCTACAAGCTACAGTAAAAACTGTAACATTGCCAGAGGCAAGCTAGTTATTCATTAAGCTTGTGAAAGACATGGCATGAAATGAGATTTTATTAGATAGACAAGACTGGAAAACATGGTAGATGTACTTCATTTGAATTGCAGATTTCCTTAACCGTGTGATGGCCAGGAGGGCTAGCTTGAGTTCTTCCTCCTTCCCCTGCATTCAAGGAATACAGAAGGAATCTTTAGTACTCTGCTTTCTAGCATTCTACACCTAATTTTTCATCTTGTCATAGGGGCCTCTACCTTCTGTTTTGCCCCAGGAGAAAGTCTCTAGCACCTGTGTTGTAATGCTACTAGACAGTATCTGCTACTGTGGAGTAGGATGGGTGACCAGAGGCAAAATTTGAACCCAAAAGATGTGATTTATCATCTTCTATCTTGATCTAATTGAAGAAAAGCATTCAGATACTACATGTATGGCACATATTAAGCTTATTACAGAATTTAGTATTGGGTTATCCTTTTGTAATTTCTATTCAAAAACTATCAAATGCTTCCAGGTTGTGATCTGTAAGGAGGGAGGGAGGAACTGAAGCAAATGGACCCTTTCCAATGCAATACGGAGAGCTTGGAATGGGGGAGCCATGGGCAGGATCAAGAAGTACTGCATTACAATACAGTTCTTTCTGAGATGTTAGTTACACTGCAAAAATTGCTACCTGGAAAAAATGCCATCCACAGGTTTTGTTCTGCAACCAGAATGCAACATGGAGGATGACTTTTCCAGTCTAAAGTTCACTTAACAGATGTATATTAACATCATACTTAAAAAGGAATCAGCACATTTAAAAAAACAAATCCTGGCCAGTACTCTGTGTGGACAGTAAAGAGGAGTTCATTTTGGTTTGAACACGGGGATGCTGAGATAAATAGCAAGAAGCTGTTTTTGTGTATATCCATGGCAGAAGATAAATTTTTTCACTTGTTTGTTTTTCTCCCATGTGATGGCAAAATGGAGACACCAAACAAACTTCCATGTCCTTTCCATTAGAAAATCCTTCAAGATGTCACCTCTCTAATTGCATTCACTAAATTTTCCCTCTACACCATTATTTTGTCAAAAACATTTTATAGTGGTTTCTCTTCTCTCCCTGATTTTTATACACCTCGTGCAGTTTTCTTGCCTGGAGTGCAGAGAACTTGCAGAAGGTGCACATGCTGCCAGCCATCCTGCACCAAGTGCTGCTGAGCACAAAGCCAAGCAGGAGCAAAAAGCCGCTGTCCCAAGATGATCCAGGGTAACCTGCTCCAGAGCAAGACCTTGGCCATCTCCTCTGGTTTCCGCACTGAGGTTTTATGCAAAATGAGATGCCACCAGACCCTGCAGGGAAGTGCTAAATCGATGTGCTTGGTGAGCAAGCAACTCCTCCATCACTTGGCCTCAGCAGTGACTTTCATTCACCCAGGGAGCATAGTGTCTGAACAATTTTTCCTCTCATCATCTGTTTCATTTACATTAAATTATTTCTGACTGTGCTCACAGGAGCTGAGCAGGGATCTAAATCTGATTTTCCAGAGAACTTACACAGTGCCTGGACATTACCCTTCTTGTAGCCATTAACAAGTTCTTCTAAGGGAAATTCTATCATCTGAAGTACAGACAAACATCTGAAGTTCAGACGAACACTTTAAAGCAAGATGTAAGAAATTATTAGGAAGACAGAGTTATTCAGTGACAGACCAAACATAATCAGACCTGGTCTGAATCTTCCACCTCCAACACAACCACCAGCACAAGGGGTGCACAGAAGTGCCTAACAAGACTTGAGCCTTGCCCACTCTACGTCACAGGAGTTGTCTGCCAGGAAGCTCAGCTAGCGATGTAACCAGCATGAGCAGTACTGGCTTACAATTTAACTCCTGCTGTCATTCTTAACTTTCCACAAAGTGCTGTATTAAGACTATGTCATCATGAATCGGATGCTGCTGAGTGACTCCTCCCAGCCGGCAATTTCTGCACAACTTCAGAGTTTCACTGGAAGTCTTCACTGTCTTCCTCACAAATGGCTTTTAAATTCTGCATTATTTTTAAAAGGACAAGTCATGCTGCCCAGCTGCTCTGGTACAGAGCCTTGTTTGTCTAGGAGGTGGAGTTCTAATAAAACAATGCCCAGCTAGTTTTTTTTTAAATGTACAGTACCAGCTGCTCTCCTAAGTGTGTTTCAAGAAAGCAGAGCATCTGGCTGGAGCACTGACAACTTAGGAATTCTCACAATCCTTTGAGACTGCCAGGTGTAAAACCTCCTCATCCTACAAACACCCCAACAGTACACAACGCTTCTGTGATGGCAGCAGTTGTAAAACTTGGAGATTTGTGACAGGAATAAAATTGTGTCAGACTAATCTACTGTGTCAGATAAATCTACTGACGAACCTTGAGGCATATCTAGCAATGGACAGAGGAGGAGAGAGAACCCTGGGATCTCCTCTGCCTGGAGAAGGAAGTCAGATTTGTATCAGGGGAGTGGAATGGAGGAAAGACTAAGGAAGCACAGACCAGGCTGTGTCTTCAGCATTTTCTCAATTGCTGTTTCTCTCCTACCCGGAACTCTGCCGACAAGTATTACAAGTGGCAAACATTGCTTTAAATACAGCATGTTGGAGTCCTGGCAATTTATGAGGTGGATTAGTCATCTTGTTATGGAAATCCTCCGCCTCCCAAGTGAGAGAGATTTGGTTCTGACTGAAGGCAGAGATCCATCATCCGTTAAATCCTAACACTGTCAGGTAAAACTCGTGTAATAAATCTGCTAAGTATCTAAATGTACTTAAGTCTATCTTGTTTGACTGAGCTTCAGAAACCTCACAAGCAATAACAAGGAACTTCAGTTTATGGCAGTGCTATCAGATCTAAAAAGTAAGACCAAAGTGCACTTGACACCGCACAGCTAAATAGCTCATTCTCTCTTTTGTTCTTTCAGGTGAAGAAAATAGCTGCAGAATACTATGACAACCTCCCCTACCACCAGTCCTGGATCCGAGTCCTGTGGGACTTTGTATTTGATGACAGTATCGGTCCTTACTCAAGGGTTAAGAGAAAATGCAAACTGGCAAAAGAAAGCTAACGGACCAGCTCCAGCTGCTGCAGTGGCATTTTGTTTGTTTGAATGGTTTGAGTGCTCTGCAGAAGGATGCTTTGCGTGTGCTTGGTGTAGTGTTGATATGTGCTCTTTGGACAAAGAGGATGAGTGTCTGCACTATTTAAAATACTGATACTTTTTAATAAGGGATATTTTATGTAACCTTGAAAAACTGGATGAGAGCAAGCTACACTCACATGAATCTTGGTCTAGACTTAGAATTAACTTCCTGGGACATGTGTGTCCAATTTGGAGTTTTGGCCTGCTCTGCAATGAAGAATATTTGGTGCATGAATGGGCGTGCTTATGTGTAGGTTAGGACTGGTTTCTCTTCATGCCAAGTTAGATGCAGATGCTTTGCATGCATCAGACTGTGGAAGCAGGGATGACTGGCATGCAGTAGCAAATGATACTTTCTAGAGAACATGAGGGTGCCTTCCTTCAACTCAAAGCATTGCCTAAATATCTTGTGCCTGACAATAGCTGCTTGCAGTGATTTTGTATATGAAATGGAATTTTTTAATAACTGAATCAATATTATTATTATCTGCTGTTTGACCTCTATTTCAGGGCTTTTCCTATACCTTTTCTGAGCCATTTCTATTCTTAGTATTTGATGTTCAGTGTAACTTACTAGCAGAGTTGAACTGAGATGTGGAAAAACCCTTTCTTTAATCTTCAGCTCACCGATCAGCAATGTGGCATACCACAGCTCGAACTTGAGAAATGGCTAATCCTCTTCCACTCATCCTTTCAACCGTATTCAGAATTTCATATTTCCTCGTACCTTTCACTACTAAAAGCCCCTCTGGGAGTGGAAGGGTTCTAGTTTAAATTGCTCCTTATAAGGGCTTTTACTATTCCTGATCATCTTTCTTGGTCTTCTGTGTATCGTACCTATTTCTGTGAATAGAAGTTAGGAGTCGCTATCACTGAAGACGCTGGAGATGTTAGGAACAAATGTCACCATAATCACTTTCAGTGCAGTTCTAACTTTTTCTCCCTGTGATTCAATGGGAACTGACTCAGCAATCAGGAAGCACGGATACTCCAGCTATAAAAGCCATCACTAATGGGATTTAAATGGGACGTGGTGCTGGTGTTGTTCCTCTCTACATGCAGTATGTTGTGCTATTGACATTGACCTAGATCTGTCATTTCTAGCCCTTAGAACAATTCCATCTTCCTGCCTCTCTTCTCCAACCACCAGCCTCTGGATACCCTCAATAATAGTGTTTCATGAAAAAACCTTAGTCACCATGCCTTTCTCCATGCAGAATATACTGAACAATTTCTTGGGAGTTAGGAGCTGATATGTCATCTAACAACTCCCCTGCACTCTGGATAGCTGACTACTTATATCTGTCCTTGCTAAGTGGACAAAAGAGAACAGATCTATAAAGATTCTCTTATAAACTGACAGCTTAATCCCTTTAGTGGTTTTGACTTTTTGTTTTCTTCTAGAAATCCATATACGTTACAAATGTGGAATAATAATTCCCTTTATGTTGAGCTCTCAAAGACCATTACTGGGCCTGGGATGCCTGATTCCCTCAATAAACACAGTTTTGTTCCTGTCTCCTACAGCACTGCATCCAGTGAGTCATATTGGTATGACTTTTTGGCAGTAGTTTGTCTCAGTCCTGCTAGCACTTCATGATCAGATATTTAACTTCCAATGTCCTCAGCAAGTTGTTTCACAACTCTCAGCTAATTTAGTAAGCAAACATAAAAACAATATTAAAGATTGTGTTCCTCATTTTGCATTACTCCTTTGTAGAAACTGACTTTTCTCTAGCTCCCTTAGCTGCTCCACAATACCATTAACCTACTTGATCCGTATGTTAATAGCCGAGCCTGATACAGAAGCTGCACTATGAACTGAAGGTAATCAAAGTTGTTGGCTGTTTCTCACCTGCATAGCAGCCGTGTTCCTATTCTGCTTTGTCACAGTCCTCCCATTCTGCAGAGGAACTTGAAGGTGCTGAAAGTTCCTGCTATCTGCTGTGCTCCCAAGTAGCAAAGCACCAGTTTAAGAGAGTCACTGGTCTCCTGGTGAGATTAATCACAGTTGCTCTCTACCCTTAGCACCTGACAGGTACACTCAGAACTTCACCACTCTGGGATGGATTTATAGTGCTGAGTAAAGCACCTGGAGATGGGACCAGGTGTTACTGCTTCTACCAGCCAAGCCCCCCTGCCCATCCTGTTCACCTTGGAACTCTGCTCCCATTAAATGGCCCTGAACAAACTTCTGTTGACTGTCTTAATGATAGGAGGCCTGCAAAGGAGGGCAAGAAAAGCTCATTTACAGCAAGTCCCTGGTGTTACCATAGGAACATACTTTATCCAGACTGTACTCAACCTGGATGACAGTGTGGTTATTGCTGACTGTAGGTGTAGCACCACACTCCAAGGTAAAACATGAACTGAGCCGGGGCCCAACTTTGTCAAGCTTAAGAAAGATGAATGGAGACTTTCACAGAATGGCTGTGACTATCTGTGAGGCAGAAGTTTAGAAGAGCGCTTGCTGTTGTCGGGTATGCCATCAAATGGCATAGGACAAGAGGTAAAGGCCTTAAATTGCACAAGGGAAGGTTCCCATTGAGTATTAGGAAAACTTTCTCAGAAAGAGCAGTACTGCATTGGCACAGGCTGCCCTGGGAGGTTGGGGGTCACTGTCCCATGTTCAAGACATGTGGAGGCGTGGCACTGAGGTGTATTGTTGGTGGGCATGGTGGGGTGGGTTGATGGTTGGACTAAACGATTTTAGAGGTCTTTTGCAATCTTAATTATTCCATGAAATGGTTTTATAATTAAGAAACACATGAGCTATTGTACCATATTTATACAGCAGACCATAATAAACTTCACTGATGTTTGGCTGAGTTCTTTCTACCAGAAAGGCTCTTTCTCCTGGTCTTGGAGCTGCAGTGCTGTGTTTCACATCCATTCCTTTCTTCTTTAGTTCCCACGTAAACATCTTATCCTGCTGTCTATCTTTCTCTAGCCAGTTGGGAAGCCAGCACTAAACAGCTAGCAGATGTCAGGCTTGGACTGCAGACTGCCCTTCAATTAAGCTTAAATTTCCCTCATTTATCTAGTATTTAGGTTTACAATGTAACTGGGGAAAAAAATGTTTTCTAGAAGACAGATGGAGTGGCTTTGAAGATTGCTGAAGGACAACTGCAAGCTCTCCAAGCCAAAGCAGATAAAAGTTTATAAGTAACCAGCAAGCCTGCCCCACCCCTGACTTCCCCGGCATCCTGCTGCTTGAAGGCAGCCACACAGGATCATGGAATTGGGTGAGAAGGGAGCCCTGGCCCAAGCCCTGCTCCAGCAGGGCACCACAGCAGCCTCCTGGTCCCTGCCTGAGGGCTGAGGAATGACCATGGCCCCCGGGACTCTGCAACAGCCCTCCTGGATCTGGTTTACAACATGAAGCCATCAGGAAGGCTCAAAGCAAGACGGGGGCTCGGGAAACGCTGATTTGCACAGCTTAACTCCCATCACTTTGTGCCTTTTACATAAAGCTGTCAAGGAGATTGTATGATGGCTGCCGCCTTGTAAATCTCACACCAAATCAAGTCGAGCAGAAATTCTCAAGATTGCACTGATGGAAAGAACGGTAGCAAAGAAAAGAACACGTGTGACCTGATAGGTAAGAGCAAATGTGTGATGAACTGCTCAGCCATGATGATCCAGCATCCTGTACTCATTTCTGAGACCTCAGTTTCCACAAAATAAAGGTCATCGAAGCTTGCACAGAGTTAACAGATGGAAACATGAAATATTAATGAGTGACTCCTATAAGCTTCTAGTTCAGCAGCACTGCATGTGGGATTTATGCTTCGCTGTGGCCATGCTGCCCTAATGCCTTCAGCAGCCTTGATCTGAATGACCCCCTCTCCTCCCAAAAGCCCAAACAGGCACAAGTGGGGGATGTGTGGGTTTTGTTTTTACTGAGGAGATAGTGCAGGACAGTTAGTGGTGGCCTGAGGCAGCCATAAAATGCCATCCTCCACTGATCTCAGCACTCCCCAGGTGAGTCTTCATCACCACCCTCCCCAGGCCAGTGAGGAAACATATCAGGTGACATTAAGGTGGAGAAGCTGAAGGGGTAAACGATATAAACAAAGGCAGGGCCATGTGGACAATAAACAGTTTATTACCAATATGAACACAGATACTGTGATGCAGACGTACCATTTTTTTTTTTTATATTGTGATAACTCTGAGACAAAGAACTTGTTGGCTGACAACTAACATGTCTCTTTTCTTCTGGTGATGCCACAATACATTTCTGTTGGCAAAGGATCTTCATTTACATTGCAGACTACTAATAAAATTACTTTGAAGTCATCTATCAAAAGCAAATGGTTCACATGTGTTCTTACCTACTACTAAAAAGAAAGGTAATACATTTAAATAAGCAAATACAAAATACAAAAAAGGCTGACAAATCCAATGTGCAGTGTCAGATGAAATCTAAAAAATCCAGAAATTTAAAATTTAATATTCTTTAGATTAAGACTTTTAAAATGAAGCAAATCCAAGGCAGCAGCAAGCTTCAAAGTGTGCTGAGTCTGCTAATAAAAAGGGTATAAGAACAAAGACAGTGCCGGTGTCCTCTCTCACCATCTTGCGTGACCTTGGTACACTCAGAAATGATTCAATCTTCCTAGCATTCTTAGTACCGTCCAAATGCTTTGCAATCATGTTGTACTGATCCTACTCAACTCCTGCCGTATGGCTAGAAAACCAAACCAAAAAAGTTAGCGCAGAACATTCTACCCAGCACATGGAAAAGGCTAAGTACAGAGCTTGCAGAAAGTACACGCCAGTAAAAGGATGAGTGGAAGGTAAAAGGATGAGTAAGGGCGAACAGTCAGCTGTTTGCTTGCAAACTGCAGTAGTGGTTTAATTGGCATCTGCGATTCATGTGAATGTCTTATTTTGCACTGGAATGAACTGGGGGGTCTCTGAGGGCCAAGCTGCTGGGACCATAGCAAACGGGCAAGGGTGTCCTCAGCTGCCAACTGCCCAGCTGTTATGAGCACGCGGCGCTGGGGGAAGGGCAGCGGGCATGGCTTTTAGCTGTTTGACAGTCTCCTCTTTTTCCCCTTCCGTATGAAGCTAAGTTGGGAAATGCAGGGTGTGGATGTGGATCTTTGCACGCCCTATGCAGGTCTCAAATAAATAGGTACTTTCCTGTGCATGTCACTAATAACAGCATTATGCTGTCTCATGTTGGCCTTGAAAAAACATATTTTGTCACAAAATGTAAAGCAATTTATAAAAAAACTGCTGAAACATTGCATTTCACCGAGTTAGAAAAATATGTGGCTATTCAGATTGAGTTAACTAAAATAGTTTTTTGAGTACAAGCATCCTCCAGAGGATGCTCAGAAAGGGTTTCCAATTTGGTATACTTGGCCCCTCCTATGTCAAACCAGTTGTATGCGATTTCACACTCCCTGGTTGTGGTGAACTGATGTGCCATGGGCTATGGGCCAGCCCTTACTCCCACTCCCACCTGTGAAAGGCACAGGCCAGTGACTTTTTCACAGGTTGAGGTGAAAATGTGTGTCAACAGCATAAAGATAAAGGATGTGAATATAGTGCTATGACCAAAGACTGGTTAAGGTAGAATGTTTTTCTTCAGATGTGTATATAAATCAGAGCCGCACAGACAGGTCTGAAAATACCAGGAACTCCCTGCAGTGCCTATCATCTTATCTACAGGAAATTAGTCATAAAGGTGAGAAAAATAATGATTTTTCTCTTTCTTACCATCAATTATCTCCTCTTTCACTTTGTGTAACTCTCTTACAACTTCCTCCAATATTTCCTGATGAGACAAAACACAAGTCAGCTGCTCAGCATTTCCTTCTGACTGGTGGAAGAAAACGCAAGTTTAACACGGTCGTGGGTCCCCCACCTCCATGGCTGCTCAGGGCCTAGTGCTGCTTGCAGCTATGGCTGCACTCCCAGGCCAGGGGTGCAGCAGAGGCTGGGGAATTTATTTGCACGTTTCATACAGACATCTTGCTCAAATAGCAGTGAGATTGTGCTCTCTTGCTGCTCACCAGCTATCCCTTCTCTAAGCACCTAGTCGTAGAGGAAACCAGAAGACTGAACAGCTGTTTTGCTTGTACAGCGCATGCATGGGGGAAAATGGGTAGCTCGTCAACTCAGGTGTGAAAAGACCTTTCAACTCACCTGTTTCATCCGATCAAAATCTAAGGCATCCATAGCCACATCATTGCTGCTGCTCACTGGCTTCATCCTTGATAAAGGGAAGAAGAGAACAAAATGCCGGCCCATCAGCTGCCTGCAGTGTGTGCTGAGCCACCCCCCACAAAGATGTAGGTGCAGCCAGTGCCACAGCAGCAACATCCGTATGGGAGAGCTGGACTAGGGACCCTCCATGTGCTGCTGGGCTGTGTCCTCAAGGAGGCTGCTCTCAGCCTTCAGTGGAGCAGAAAACACGTGTAAAATTGTGCTGAAACCTCATTTAGGATTTTTTGGGGGTTGTAGTCCTCCATTACTTTAAATTACATAATACTGGGGTGACCTAACAATATACTTCATTACAGCACAAGCAATTTGCAAAATAGATGTCTGGTTTTCTATCTTTCTTAATCCATTTTTTGTACAACCACCCTGTCTTGGCTATCTAGGCTTTAATAAGCTGTTAAAATAATAGTAAAACACAGGTGAGCATAAGGCTAACCCAGTAATAACCCAATAATCCTTTCCTTGAGAAGGCCTGACTCAAGCAGAGCTTTGTGATAACACTGCACAGCACAGGCACTTTGTCTTGACCCAGAAGCAAACACAACCTGCCCTTAAGGCCTGATACAGTTGGGTGTTATCAGCCTTTCCGGACTGTATTAGTTCACAAGCTGAACTCTGCTGATGGCTATGAAGTAACATAAGAAAGCAGAAGCTGTCTGACTTGCTGTTTTAACCATTTTAAAACATCTCAGAAATGAATCATGCTAAATAATTCATAGAAGAGATTTCAAATAACTTTGCCATCATTTCTGGGCCCAAGCTGAGGGCTGGCTGAGATCCCACCGCCTCTGCGACTGTGTTTGGTCTTGCAACTCTTTCTTGGGAAAACCTTCACATTTTGCTATAATCTCAAAAAGAAGTTGAGAGTTAAGACAGACACAATCGTCATCAAACTGATCAAGAAGGAAACTGGCCACTGCTGGGAGCTTCTGCACAGTGCCCCTTTCCTGCTGCAGAAGTCAGACAAGCAGCAAACACTGAGGATTACGCAGGGATTAAGCTAGCAATGGATTTTCCCTCACTCAACTCCTCCCTAGGTGGAATGACTTTGTAGAAACGAGTTGGCACAAACTTGATGGCTGCTTTAAATAGCTCACATTTCGTTCCTTTCCGCAAGGAGAAGAAATGGGCTTTCCTATATCTAATGGAAACACACAGCAGTGTCCCATTGATTTTAGGAAAGCAGGTGACTGCATTTCACCCTAGGAACACTGAAGTACCTTTCAAGTTTTGGACAGGGCATGTTCTGGCATTTGTAGCACAGGAATAGGTAAGCATAGATAGTTGTCATTGGCAATTTTCTTTCTTCTTCTATCACTGCAGTAAAGTAGGTCCAAAACAAGGGGCATTGATTTGCAGTAAATGGTAACTATATGCAACTCCTTTCACTTATCCAGCCATCTCAGTGCTCAGAACTGCAAGAACATGAGGTGGGCCAGCTGGAAGAAGTCTCTCTCTTTCACTGCCCAATACCAAACCTCAATCTCCATCTCGATGGGTAACAACTTGAGTGACCATGCACAGTGTGGCTGTTTTCACTAATGGGGCTGCTGGATTCCTGCTTCAGGCTTCTTGGCTTTCTTCACATATTTCTGAATGCCCTGTCTGGCGCCTGGGGCTTTCCATGGCCCAATGATATGAAGTTATTGCACCAAGCTTTGCTCTCCTTCCTCACATACCCACTGCAGTTGCAGAGGACTAACTTTTCCAAGTTGTCAGCTCTTCACATCATTTCTGTCTTTGATCTTGGATTTCTGCTGAAGTTGGACAATTACACCTTCCCCTACTGGCAGAGACATCCTGAACCAGCTGTAAAGCAGTGCTCCAAAACCTCCCACCCATTTGGCACTGCCAAGCCCACAAATACTTTAAGCACGTGCTTAAGTGTGATTAACTCCTGTGCCCATCTGAGAGGGGGCTGTTTCCACAGAAACACTTTGACACAGCACATGCTACCATCACACATTTCAACTTTGTGCAGGGACAGACAGAGCAGATAGAACAGAATGAGTAAAGACAGAAAACAAACATCAGTGCTGAGCACTGGGATTTGCCAAAGGACAAGTCAAGACAGGTAAGAAGGTGGGCTGTTAGCCAGTACCTAGAAGACACGTGGGATTGTGTGGGGCTCTTAGCTTCACAGCTCTTCACCATGGATGGATTTCTACAGCAATGGAATGAAACGAGACATGAGTTGTGCAAGTGCCACGGGGACAGCGTGACCATCCCAACTGCTAGCCAGCTGCAGGGACGACCTATGCCACTCACCTAGACAATAATGAAGATACAGGCTTTTCAACAGAATTGCTCCTTTCCCATGGCTTCTTCCCAGAGTCTGGAAAACAAAGATGAAAATTTACTGCCAATTATTTTTTCTCTAATAATAAAAAATCCTGAAACTGTTTTATACAGCCTCTCTAGAAAGATCCAAAACCAAAAGCGCTTAATGAGTGTAGTTCCCTACACTACAGAGAAAACGTTGACAAAAATCTGCTTAGGGATCTCTTTAATGGAGGACCAGACACTTAAATGATCCTGAAAAGACATGGAATTGGAACAGTACAAAGAAAAGAAGAAATCACTGAGATCAAGAAATACAAGTTAAGTGTTGCTTATGTTTCTTGACTGCATAGTTGGCATAAAAAATAATGTATATGAAAAAAAAGCAGCACGATCTCCCCCTGACAATTGACATTTCCACAGAGAGAATTTATTTAATGCTGTTTCCATTGCTAGCTAACAGAACATGCCCCAGACTACACTACAGATCTCTCATTTCTGGAAATGCCTACTGTTATCCCAGACTCTTCTTACGCAAATAGTCCAAAATAAAATGTGCTCTTTCAGAGACCTGAATGGCACACAACATTATACACAAAAGTTTGTTGCTCTGTGAGATCCTGAAAAGCGATTTAGAGGAATTATGGGCACTCCCAGG